TCGATCCAGGGACTCCAGGATCATGACCCGAGCCGAAGGCAGTCGCTTAACCAACTGAGCCACCCAGGTGCCCCTTTCTCATTGTTCCTTAATGTAACGAGTATTTGGATAGCATTTTTACGTCCATAGCAACCTTTACCTCCTCTGTTAAACCTGTCGTAAATATCTGCTTCATTTATCTTTTATCCCAATGAACCCCACCAAGACCAGAGAACCAGCAACAGTAGAGATTCCCTGCCTATCATTAAACAGAAAAACAGGTGCAGGAAAGCTGTAAATAGATAGCATTAAACCCTCCCTTCTGATTTTACATTCGTTATTCACGTGTTAAATGAGAAACGTTGGCTGGTCAGTAATAGTGGGGCTCATAGGGCACACATGTTGATTCTACTACATGTAGTGACAAGGAGTAGTAGGTACTATGATAGTAGAAAGTCCTGCCTTCTGCTAAAATGTTTAGCAAATGGTGGAAAATGTAGACAGGTCATTTCATTAAGCATGTACACCTGGATCAGCTGCACGGTATGTTCATCAGATCAAAAAACATCTCCGAGTCCTGATCCCCAGGGGCTCCTTCAGCCTTTTGAGGAACCTCTTTCTGACTGGGAAGCACCGGCTTTGACTTTGGGCACTTAGCTAGCTGCAGGCCCCACAGCCAGGATCCCCTTCCTGCAGCCTGGCCCTGGGAACCGCGGGCACGGAGTGGCGGGAAAAAGCCTGAATCTTGATGAACGATCACAGTGCCTTCTGTTTGGAACCATAGTTCCTTTGTTGGAAAGAAGCTCGACTGCTCTCAGGAGTTTGGAACCCCCGACCAGACTTACAACCTCCAACTTGTCTCTGATGAGGCTCTTGGGAGCTGTCCAGAAAGGTGAGCTGGAGTCATGGACTGTTGGGTTGTGTTGCTGGTTCCAAGCATTTGGAGAAGTTTCTCTTACTTTAGCCATGGCTGTTACAGCAGGGCTAAGGGAAGGAGATAAGGAGACCAGTGCATAGGCTTCCTTCTCTTCTCTTTGTCTGTTTTTGCCCTGGAATCTGACATAATCAAGAGCACCAGAGCCGGCAGAACAGCTGCCGCCATTTTGGAACAGAGTTCATTTCTGTCCTGTCCCCCCTGCCACCTACCCTCATCTCTCCCTTGCCCACCTTGATCGTCCCAGAGCCAGGAGAACTCTACACCTCGAGTTAACCAGTCTGTTTTAATCTCCCCACTCAAGATTGTGACTGAACTCTCCAAACAAGAATAACTAAATGTATTAAAATCGTGGTCTTCGGGATTTGAGCCTTTTCATCGGTTTAAGAAATACCTATGTGGTGCTATGTCTAGTCTGTGCATTACAAGCCCAGCACCCATGCTAACCGGGAGAACTTGCATAACTGGCAGGTCGCGGCCACTAGTTACAGCTCACCATAGCAACCAGACATGTTTCTTTTTAAACAGGCTGGATCAGGTGCAGCACCACGGTGAGAAGCGGAGTTGGGGGCATCACCATGCTCTTTACGGGGTACTTCGTCCTGTGGTGCGGCTGGAGTTTCAGGCATCTGAGTAAGCCTTTTTGATGTTTTTAGCCAAAATCCCAGGTCACATCCCATTACAGGGACCTCCAGGGGACTCTCCGAATTGCTTTTTATAGGACAGTGTTGCATTATCTGACATGCCCTCATGAATGAGCCACTGCCTTTGGTTTTTTATTACACATTATGGTTATGATAAACTTATGAACTTTATAAGATTTGACTAGAGTTTACATAATTGCTCTTGTGCTCCACGTGAGGTTTTTCCTAGAGATCTGGTGGTCTTGTGCTTTCTCCTCTGAAAGTCGTTTGCCTACCAGATCAGCACCCTTAATTCCTGCCTTCGAACTTCTTTTTAGCATTGAAACCAAACAGCTCTATACCCCAAGAGCGGAGGAGAAACCATACAGCTCTCACTCATGTGTCTGAGGGTCACAGAAATCTTAGTTAATGTGACTTTCACCACGTAAAACAAAAACATCTTTCTAGTTGGGAGTTTCAGCTTGCATCAGGTCTTACCAGGAGGAAAAATGTCTGAACTTCATTTCTCTTTTAGTTTAAGATGACTTTTCTCATTTTTTTAAAGTCTTGCTTTATAGGGCGCCTGGGTGGCTCAGTTGGTTAAGCGACTGCCTTCGGCTCAGGTCATGATCCTGGAGTCCCGGGATCGAGTCCCACATCGGGCTCCCTGCTCAGCAGGGGGTCTGCTTCTCCCTCTGACCCTCTTCCCTCTCGTGCTCTCTATCTCTCATTCTCTCTCAAATAAATAAATAAAATCTTTAAAAAAAAAAATAAAAATAAAAATAAAGTCTTGCTTTATAAAAAATAGATTTTTATAGTTAAAATGTTTAAAAGCCATTGTATAGAGGAGAATATCAAAAAAGCCCAGTATTTTTCCACAATTAAAAAAAAAAAGCCCAGGGGCACCTGGATGGCTCAATCCTTGGCCGTTTGCCTTGGCTCAGGTCATGATTCCAGAGTCCTGGGATCGAGCCCCGCATCGGGCTCCTTGGTCTGTGGGAAGCCTGCTTCTCCCTCTCCCACTCCCCCTGCTTGTGTTCCTGCTCTCGCTGTCTCTCTCTCTCTGTCAAATAAATAAATGAAATCTTAAAAAAAAAAAAAACTCAAGAAAAATTTAAAAAAATTTAAAAAGCCCAGTCGCTTTCTGAAAACTTTTTTTTTTCTGAAAACTTTTTGTGTAAAAGTACAAGGTAACCATTAATACCAGTGTAATTCACAAATGGTTAATAAGACTTCTAAAATACCAGGACTTGGGGTGGCTTGGTTGGTAGAGCATGTGACTCTTGATCCCAGGGTCATGAGTTCAAGCCCCATATTGGGTGTGGAGCCTACTTAAATGGAAAAAAAAAAAAAAAAAAAAAGGACTTGACTCGAATTGGATTTTTTGACTGATTCAGTGTCTAGTAAGTGGGAGAGCAGGTCAAGTAGCAGAAATGGGACTTCGGTAAATTCCTACACACGGCTGGTGGGGAGCTGGTAGGTGGTATGTGATCCACCTGTCCATGAGAAAGAGGAGTTCCTTTCTGATCAGCCTTGCATACATGGAGACTCCTAAAAACCTTGACTGACTTCTTTCCCAGGGACAGGGCCTCCCCTTAAAGGCTTACCTGTCTGAAAGGGCTCAGTTGGTTGATACCTGAGGAGAAATTTCTGATTGCACCTAAGACTTTATTTCTGAATCTGTAAAACAAAGGGGAAACGGAATGATCTGCACAGGCAAGAGACAGAAACAGTCTTTAGGAGTGGCCTTGTGGATCCTTATACTTCTGTCTGTTTATCCAAAGAGCTGCAGCGCTGGCGTAAGTGATGACCTGGACACCGAGTACGGAAGCTTGGAGCCTCCAGGGAGCGTATGCTGGGGACACCTGCAGTGCAGATTTAACAATTTAAAATGGTTTGGGGGAGAGGGAGTGAAAAGAATAAAATTACTGGAATCTAAAACAGTTACAGAGGAAGTCCGTTTTTTTAACGTGGACAGGTCTGGTTCTGGGTGGACATTTCTTTGGCTGGCTCTTAAGAGTGACAGTGATTGAATAGACTTCCGTTTGTTTGCTCGTAAAGGCTGCTGGTTTTCAGGGAGGCATGAAGATGACAAAGGTCATCACTAAAATTTTTTAAATAATTATCTCTTAGTTCTCAGTAAATAATAATCTCACTTTTAAATCTTTCTCCCTAAAATTATTCTCTAAGCTTTGGCATTTTATTATTCATCCATACAAGATACCAGGCTACATGCATACTGATCCAGAAGAGTATGTGTGAAGTCGCAGAAAATGAGCCTACATCAGGCCCTTTTTGGGTCCCTGACCAGATCTTGGCAGGCGTGAGAAACAAAAGCAAAGTAAGGTGGATCCAGAGTTGCAGGTGAGCCTATGAAAAGTCCTTAATATATTTTTAAGGTGATTAAAATGAAATCACACACTAAACAGAATTTTAAATCACTTTTTATTCATCTTGAGTATAATAGTGAACAAATGGTTTCTGCTTATGTCCTAGAAACTTCCAGAATCCCACCCCATCCCTTTCTAAGAATTTCTGTGAAATACTCTGACATTCTTTTTACTTTGTTAGGATTGTTTTTGGCTGGTGTGTTTTCCGTGTCTCTTCCCCCATCAAAATATTCAGTGTTTTTTTCTAATTTTATGGCTTCTGCTTTGGCCCCTAGACAGTAGCTCGATAGAAAAGATAGATAGTAACTGGATAGCACAGGCGGATAACTTTTGCTCCAGTCCCTTTTCCAACACAGGGGTTGGTTATCTATCATAGATCTGTTTATATCTACCTGTTTGCTTTATATACACACATACACGTATTTTAGCTTTGCTTGTGATATCCTCGCCAAATACATGAGATCAGTCCCTGTTTTGTCCCAGCTTCTTCAAAACCACAAACAAGCGGGTGTGCTGTTGTAAGGCAAGCATGTATTTATTTGTACATCTCTTCTGTCTTCTCAAAACTTGAATTTTGGCTCTATCTTCTGCTTTATCTACCTTTTCTATCCCAGCCCCCAGTCTGTCTCCCTCTCTAATTATCCCCAGTGGGAGTAATTTAATTCTGCATCAGTTGCTCATGGTTAGGGGAAAGGTATACTAGAATTCTCCATAAGGAAAAATTTACGGCTGAGGAAGAGTACTGCATTTGGTTATTTTAGTCTAATATTACTAAGAACTTCATTGAAATTCCAAAAACTGTAGCTTTCATTTTGAAAGGGCTTTGTGCCCATTCTTTGCAAATGCCCTTTAAAAGAGGCACTTGGGGAGGGATTCTCCCTCCACTTCCCCCTTGGTCCTTTGTCTAGGTCAGAAACCCTCAGGCTGCCAAGGTAGAGGACAATGCTGTCTATGATGGCCTCATTGATGGCCTCCTGCACACTTCCCCAAACCCCTCAAGTCTGGCTCAGCAGGCTACAGTGGCCCTCTGCACTGGCCAGGCCACTACCTGTTTTGTAAATAGTCTTCCCAGAGCACAGCCTGCTCCACACTTTGACCACTACTGTAAATAAACTAGTGTCGCTTGTCACTTGAATGCTAGAACAATGAAAAGGTTTCACTTAATTTATATATCACAATAAATGTTTTAAATTTATGTCATGATAAATATTTTACACCCCTGAAAATAAGTTCCTTAACGAGGAGAGTGAATGACATAGTGATCCCACCAGTCCCTAAAAGGAGAGCTGCTTCATTTTGCCACGTTTAAGACAAAGGTAGGATCCAGCATTCAAAAGAGGATTTTTAATCTGACATGATCAATACCAAGAATCTTAACTCACAGGTAGCAGGAAAGAAGAAAAAGAAGAGTCTTAACTGAGGTCTTTGAATTTGATACTGAGCGTGGATTCTTAAATGATCAGGGGACTTCGCAGAAGCCATGGGCAGTGTCTCCAGATTCTGGAGTTCCTTGGTAAAGGCCACCGCCAGACAGGGAGAGTTCCTCTCTGCTCAGTGCTGCCATCTGGGGTGGGAGTATGCTTGAAGACCTTTCATCAAGTCTTTTAAGGATTTCTTCATAATGATGTTCCAGATAGTCTTGAGTCGTTGAGGTCAGCTGACAACTGAATTCTTTTCCGGGATTCGGGTCCAGACAAACTCCGCATGATCAAGGGATACACTTCATAGCTCCCACTTGCAAGAGTAATGTAACTCTGGTTTATGAGGATACATTTATTACTTGTACATGCAAATATCCCTACAAGATAAGTTCATTTGCACAGCCACTCCCCGTCATGCATGTGATCTGGCGGATGCACGGCTTCATCCAGCAAGACTAGAGATTATTCTCTAAACTGGAAATGTAGACGAGTGAGCCTGAGCTGCTGAAGCCAGCGCCCTGTAGACAAGAGGCAGGAGTAACTGCTCTGCTCTTCACAAAGCCGAGAAAAAGAAGTCAGGAATGCTCGTAACTTGATGGGCCATGTTAAAAACAGCCTCCTTGATTTTGTCTCCCCAAACGATGCTCTGTACCTTCCGCGGTCCCGGCAGGAGCCCCTTGGGTGAGCAGCAGTGCTTAGGTTTTGCTTCCGGTTCCGCAGCATAAATTCTCAAACAAACACGTCTTCCAGCAGTGGGCAGAGAATCCAATCCATACAAACAGTCCCCACCCGCCTTCCTGTCCGTCCTGCGGCAGAGTTACTGTGATAGCCAGGCTCCTCTCCACCTTTGAGGAGACTCGCAAGGAGGGTCCCGTTCTGGAAGGCTGAAAATCCTCGCAGGCAGGCCGAAATGCCCTGGCTGCACCCTTGTGGTCTGCAGGGTGGGTTAACCCCAGCATTAGCTCCTGGAATTTAAGCCTGAGTGAGAATACCTGAAATCCTGAGTGTACTGGGGAAAGTATTTTTGTCTAATACACATTAAAGTGTTTAGCTATTAAAGATAATCATTTGTTCTATTAGCAATAGGGTGTTATACTCCTTATGAGAAACTCTTATCTGCTGCCACTGTTCTTAGTCCTTGTTTGTCCTGATTTACAGATTATCTTAATTACCCTGTTCCCTGTGCTCCTCCACCATGGGATCACCACCACTCTTCAGAAGAACAACATTTATATATATATATACGTACATATATATATATATTTTTTAATTCCCCTCTTACTATTTGCCTCTTCCAGCCCCTCACCTTTGAGTTGGGTGGGTGTGGCCCTGGGCAAGTTATCCAGCTTACTGGAGCCTCTCTGGTTGGTCTGAACTGTAAGGTGGGGACGATCATACGTACTTTGCAGAGTTTCGGGGAGATGAGAAGTCCTGCATCAGTAAATTCCAGCAAAGGCTGACATGTAGCAGGAATTAAATTATAACACCTCTTCTGAAACCTCTGTGGTGTCATCCCGCGTTGAGATTCTAAACTTGAACCAAGCAGAAAGACCGCGCCACAATTCACACAAAAGTCCAGCTGCCGTTCGGGTGCCTGCTCTGTCAAAGCCGAGTGCCGTGCCGAGTTCTTTACCTGTGTGCTCTCGTTCTGTCCTTCGGACCACCCTGTGAGGTGGGTTCTCGCTCATTTTTCACCACGAGGAAGTGGAGGCTTGACATGAAGCGGTTTGCCTGCAAGTCTGCATGGTGGGTCTCAGCAGCCCCGGGTGCCACTGCCGTGCTGTGGGCCTGCCCTGGCCCCTTACCCTCCAGCTCCGGGTGGGCCAGCACTCTTCCAGGCTGCCCTGGCCCTTACCCTCCAGCTCCGGGTGGGCCAGGCGGCTGACTCCATCCGCCAAAGGGCGTAGGGAGGCTGGTCCTACCACACACCTGTTTTCCCCATTTCCCCGAAAAGCTTGGCTTAGCCTCCCCGCTCCTCTCCCCACGGACTGCCTCGCAGTGGCCTTCGGCTGAGGCATCAGCCTAGGTCATATGGCATTAAATGGGCCGTGTTGCTCCCTCGCCTCCCCAAGGTAAGCCCTGTTTGTAGCACCTCCCTCCCCGTAATTCCTCACATGAGGCATGAGCCAGACAGGGAAGCGGCTGCCGTGCTAAGGAGATCGTTGGATTTAATCAGTTGAGAGCAGCCGGTGAGGCTGTCCACACAGAACTGCCGCGTGCAGCTCGACCTTGGCGGCGGTGCACAGCACAACACCTGTACTTCCCACAAACCTGACCTTCGGGTGCACGTACGTTCTCCCCCGTTATGGATACCGCGTCCTACCACAGTCCATCTGCCTCCAGTCCTGTTGTGTTTTTAGCAGCTCGCTCACAGGATTAGAGGAAATAAGCCTGTGTGCGGCGGACTGCTAATTCTGCATCCCCTGCCCCGTGGAGGCCGACACGAGGGCTCACTGGGTCCTGGGACCCAGAGGATCCCACAGAAAGGCCATTGGGTGTCTTCGCTAGAAGGTCTTCAGTTAGCCCACAGAGCAGGGGTTCCTTTTTGATAACTCCTACCTGTTGGGGTCTTACTGCCCTGGCTGGCATAATGGCCCACGCTTCGACACTAAAAGGAAAAGATGAGTGGTGTGACTTTTTGTAAATTCAAATCCCAAGAGAAATACCCTAACCTGTCTAGGGAACCTTGAGAGCTAGTTAGCTGTCATTCTAAGGAGTCTGATGGATGCTCTCTTAAATGAAGCTCCATCTCAGGCCTGAAAGATCTTGAGATTCAAGCCAGGATCTCTGTCCCAGAGAACAGGCCTGCAGATGTTCAGAGGCCCCAAGATCAAATGTATGAGAAAGGCAGGAGCTCTGCACCCTTCCCTGTCCTGATGGAGCTTTCTCTAACAGTATAGAGGAGTCAGAAGCACAGGACAATGTAGACGTTCTCTCGTGAAGTTACGTTTTTCTTCCTAAGCCAGAAAATAGCAAAAACACAACAAAACCAGAAAAACAAGGTGCTGTGTCCCTTCCTTACGAAATCCTGCCCCCTTAATCTTCAGGACATTATGTATGAACTCAGAATTCGTAGGCAGCAAAGGAGGAGGTGAAAGCTGTTTAACTTACTAGCTTTTAAAGAAAGTCTTGTCTAGCCGGAGATGTACATCAGTTGAGGTCGTGGAGACTTAGCAGAAACACTGGGGTCACCGGTGCCCCCACCCCCCCCTCATTCGCACTCCTGTCCCCCAGTGTGGTGGTCTTACCTGACCAACGGCAGCTGCTCCCCCCTCCCTCGCCCTTGGCGGGGCAGTGGCCTGGTCTGTCCGGGGCGACTCACCGTGTAGCCCGGGCCCTGCTCTGGTGCCGAGCCCCGCGCGGTAGGAGACCAGGGGCTCCTGGGCCGCCTCTGCGGATGGAGAGGCAGGTACTCCGTGGTCGGGGAAGGGGGCATGCGAGGTTCCCAGGCAGAAACAGGAGGCGTGAACCCCATGGCCAGTTGACGAGCTGCTGATAAGGTCAGGAGAAAACTGCAGACATGGTGGCTTTACACCGAGGGCAGAGGCTCTGGCCGGGTGTTTCGGCGGAAACCTGGTTTTCGAGATGCCTTTAGTAACAGCTTTAATTGCCAAAACATGCCTCCAGATGAGAGTTAAAATGGGCTTGGGAATGGCCCAAAGTCGTGGAAGAGGCTTCCCACCTTCTGGCAGAGATCCCACTCAGAGGCAGCAGGGGGCGCCCTCTTGAGCTGGCGCGGGCCTTCCCTCCTGCGGAGGGACCGGATGCGGGTGCGCTGATGCACAGCGGCTGAGCAGATCCCTGTTCCCACGCCTGTTTTGACCTCTCCGACCCCACCGGCAGCCCAACATTCAGTCATCCAGGCCAGGGGTCAGCAAAGGCTTTCTGTGGAAGACCAGATAGGAAGATGTTTGGCTTTGCAGGCCATCTCGGCTCTGTGGCAGCCACTCAGCCCTGCTGCGTCGGCCTGAGACCGACTCTGGAGGATGCGGAAGCCGTGAGCTTTGCCCCGATCCAGTAAAACTTAACAGAACGCACATTCTCGTTTTCCCGTGTTAACAATATATTCTTTTGTTTGCCTTTCTCCCTAATCCTTTTAAACAATCATTCTTGGGTGCCAGGCTGTACAAAGACAGCAGTGGCCAGATTTGGCCCACAGGCTGTAGTTTGCTGATCCCTGATGTGGGGAGGTGCTCTTGAGTGCTTGATAGCAATAAGAAGGGTATATGTTCCCAGAGGGACTGGGCACAACCAGCAGGGCCCGGATTCGGAATAACACCTTTGGACCACAAATACGGAGCTGGGCCTCTCGTTCTTTATTTAAAAACCTCATACGTTGGGCACCTGGTGGGCTCAGTTGGTAGAACATGCAACTCTTAATCTCGGGGTTCTGAGTTCAAACCCAATGTTGGGCATAGAGATCACACACACACACACACGGTGTCGGGAGTTCAAACCCCATGTTGGGCATAAAGATCACACACGCGCGCGCCCTATCCAGCTAAGGAGAAGGAAAGCCTCAGGGGCTAAGCTGAGCAGTCCTGCAAGAAGCAGAGGTCACAGAGGTTGGACAGGGTTTGGGTGGTGGCGTGTGCCTTTCCCGGGATGGGTACTTGGAGCAGATTGTGTGAGAGAGGGCAGCTGGGCATAGTGCGGTGCCAGAGGGGGGGAGAGAGAGAGGGAGAGGGAGGAGGGGGGGGCGAGAG